CACTTGACTTGCAACGAAGGAGTCATAAATATTGAATGGATGCGAAAATTTTCCACTTTTCCCACCCAACAGTCAGTGGCTACTCAACAAGTGTCCATTCAACACGAATGTTGTCACAGTTACTGGGTGTAGGTGACATGAAGAAAACGTTCAACTCACTGACTGAATCGGCATCATTATCCTTTATGACCGAAAGCAAAAGTGCTTGAAAATTCACCGGCACTTGTTCGTGTTTTTTCGAGTTGTCAACCGGACATACGCGGATTCCCCCTCCGGGCCCTCCGAGCTCCAGTCAAGATGAGAAGGGAAATCGTAAAATCGGAAGAATAACTTGACCAAGGCAGGCTGGAAAAAATCTCTTTGGCTAGGCAGTCAGTGACCGGCTAAAAGGGAAATGAATAGAAAAGAAGAAAAAGATAAATCCTCGTCATAACCGTCAACGGATTGCACAGATTCTTGCACCGACCGGTGCGCGATGCTTGTGGATGATTTGTGCTATTTTTATATTTCCGGCTTGGCCGACTCTCCGACAAGTCATAAATAATCTTTGGTTTTCCAGACCATCATCGTCATCGTCTTTTCAGAGGCAACGTCCAACCTGTGACAAGTGGCTCGCGCCGTTTTCCTCTTATTCTGTTTTTTTGTTGACCATCACATGAAACGGCCGGGCGGCGTTTAGCACAGCAGCATAAATTGGACATTTTCGTGGTATGTCACCACCGTCACCACCATTCCGATTCATTCATTCCACGACGACGGGATAGGAATGCTGCAAGACCACACTTTCTGTCAGGGCAGATATGACGAGATGATTAAAGCTACACTGCAGCAGAATTCAATCAAAAGTCATTGCAGTTGTGTGTGTGTTCATGTAAATAGAAAAACTTACTTTTGAGAAAAGTAAATGTATAGACCTAAGGGTCACTTTCAGTGACCTTGCCAAGCACCTTCATTATGTCACTGTTCCCCAACGTGACCACCGTGGGGTACCTGGTTAACTCATCAACGCTAATCCAAATGGACATGCTCCGAGCCGTGCTTGTGTCTGTGCTCATCATAACAAACACCACCCGATGGGGACGGGCATTACAGTTGGGGAGCATCCATTTAGTACGTTACCCCTCCCCCTTTCATGACGATTATCCTATACCTTATACATTGGTATCTGAACCCCTCCTCCTTCCTTTGTGACGTACTTACTGGATCGCCCCTTATCTCTTTTTTCTCTCTCTGTCTGGTATGCCTGTCCAAGTGTCTGACAGACTGCATTTTTTGATACATGGCCCCCTCTGTTCGAGCCATCATACCAGACGCTTCATCATCCATCCTGTTGCAGGTGTCAATGCGTGTTGGTAATGCAATTCGTTATTTTATTATGCAGTTGACAGAACTGCTGCCTTCTTGCGCACCGTTTCAAACTTCATTTTCAATGCATTGGCAAACGACGACGATCGATGCTTCCAACTCGCGACGCTAGGAGTGCAGTAGCGGATTTGAATAGGGATGTCAGAAAATAATGCATTATTGCGGTTAATTGAGATGGTAACCGATTAATTTGGAATCGATTATCACCGTGCATACTGAATCGATTGACGTAAACTACTGTCGACTGTTGGCCATTCAGAAGGAAATTTTTCGACTAATCAGTCAATTCAGCGATTAAAACAACTAATGTTCTTTACGCTCAATGTTTCAATGCACAATGCACTGTGTAGCGTTTGAAAAATTAATGTTATTTTCTACGATACATAGCGCACACGTAATTAACGCTTGATTTGGCGTAAATTTACACGATATTTCATATGAATTTAAGCGCAATATCCACTAGCGTGCACAGGAATCCTGTGAAGGAGGGGCAATTGTTTTTTCTATGGTGCATTTAATCTGGAGATAGGGAGTACTCCAAAGTGCGTGGGAGATGGTGATGTCCACCCACCACTGTTTCCCTACTGTTCAATTTAGATAATTTTATTTATTTTTTACTCCGGTGGTGGTTCATCTTCTTCAATGGAAACTGCTTTCAGACAGCCAATGGAATTGGCAATTTAATCCCATCGACAATGTCGATGATGATCAGTTCGTCAAATGGTTGCAATAGTAGGGCTTTAACTGAAATGATACATTTGCTGCAATGTTGTTGCCTTGGTGGTTGGATTCAGCTGAAGTCACTTCAGATGGTGGTGATAGCACCGACAAACCGACATGAATGACCAATAAGAATCACATTCTCTGTTCGGATTTCTTCAGATTATTCTTTGGAATCACCGTCAGCTGTTAGCAAACGGTGATTCCAAAGAATAATTCCTGAAGAAATCCGAACAAAAATCAAAGAATTTAGTTTCCAATCCGTCTCCCTCTTGCAAATGGATCTCGCTTTACTTTAGTGCAGATCGACAGATCGATTCCTGTAAACTAATCGTGTATCTTCACACTTTATATCTTAGGTTAGGTAGCCTAAAGCTGACTGATCGACCGGTACTTGTGCTATAATTATTCTAACTAATTTTCAATAAATTAAGATTTTATTTCACCGTTATACTATTTAGAGGAATTACAATGTTTTGATAAAACCACGCTACCACGTTCGGTGAATAATAATTGTTTTTTGTTTGTTTTGATTACGGTCTTACGTATGCGCTTTCTTGTTCATGCTGCTCCTAGTTGCCAGTATAGCTCCTTTTCGACTTTGCTCCTGCTGCTTCAACCAGAACTGAACCTTCTTCTCGAACGACATTTCCTTCTCACACTTCAATTTGTCGCCTTCAGCGATGACCTTCTTCACGTCTTGAAACTGCTCGTGCATCTTCTTACGCTCACTAGTGAACTTGGCTTCTTCTTCCAGCTGTCTCTGCAGCATCTCCCGTTCCTCCTTCAGTTGTTGCTGTTTCAACTTCCTATCTTGCAGCAGCTTCTTTTCGAGGAACTCCTTCTCCGAGGCGCTTTTCTCGCAGAATCATCTCATCCTCCAAAGCCTTCTCCTTTGCGCGCTGTTCTTCCTCCATCTGGCGTATTGCATCGTTCAGACCCATGGTCGAGTCCGAAATAGATGTTCCACCTTCACTTTTGGACGTCGAGCTCCATTTCTTGCTTCCGGTATTTTTCGGTGCTTTCGGTACCTGGAGTTCATTGCTGCACTTGTCACAGCTCCAATCTGCGTCCTTTATAACGTCCGTCACTCCGACGCAGGAGAAATGAGCCCACAATTGGCAAGTATCGCACTGTACCATGTCGCTTATTTGGTTCGACTTCCTGCATTTCATGCAATCTCCCACGGTCGAGTCCATCCTTTAAAGTAGTAGTAAATTCTTTGATTTTCGTTCGGATTTCTTCAGGAATTATCCTTTGGAATCACCGTTTCCAAAGAATAATTCCTGAAGAAATCCGAACATTCTCCTTTCGCATACACACTGCGTCGACAAGTACAAGGTTCAAACAGTGCGCATAGCAGTGAACAAACAGTATATTGCTCTTGATCAATCCAATCTTGATCAGTGGTGTTGAGTACTTGGCACTGATGAAGTCTGCAAGTAGTAGACAAAATATGCGTATCTGTCAAAAGAAAATAAACCGGCACACTCAAAGCTCTTCATAAAAGTATATTGCTATTTTCGTCCTTGCACTTGGCTTGTCCTCCAGCAGTGCTGCCAGCCATTGGGCTATCGGTACTCTCTTCAAACTTTCCTCAAAATCCCTTTAGAATTTCACTCAAAATTTAATTTTCTCGTATTCTGTTCGGAATTATGTTGGAACTATCTGCAGGATTCACTAGAAATTATTCGCAGAGTTTTCTTGGAATACTCCCCAGAAATCCCTTGGAACTGAATGCAGATTTTTTTAGAACTCTCCTAAGAGTTCTTTTGATATTCTTCTCAGAAGTCCAATTGAATTATGCTTAGATCTCTTCATGATTTTTACTCAGAACACCTTGAAAGTCAAATTCCTTTAGAGTTTCAGAGTTTTTTCCCGGAATGAGCTAGAAAGTATCATCGGAATTCGCTTGAAATTTTGTTCCCTTTGAAATTTCACTCAAAATTTGATTTTCTCGGTATTCTTTTCGAAATTATCTTGGAACTATCCGCAGGATACACTAGAAATTATCCGTAGATTTTTTTTGGGATTCTTCCCAGAATTATTTTGGAACTGTCCTAAGAATTCAATATCTTTGAGGTTATTCTCGGAATATTTTAGAACATTTTTTTTCTCAGAACACTTGGGAACTGAAATTTTCCTAAAGTTTTAGAAGAATTTCATCTGTATTCTCCAGAAATTCTTCCCAGAATTAGCTTGAAATTATCCTCGGAATTCCCTTGAAATTTTTCTCAACATTCCTTTGCAATTTCATTCAAAATTTCATTCTCTCTGTATTCTTTTCGAAATTATCTTGGAACTATCTGCAAGATTCACTAGAAATCATTCGCAGAATTTTCATGAAATTAACCCTCATAATCTTTTCTTTAGGAACTGTCCTCAGAATTCAATACCCTTTACGTTCTACTCGGAAATCAAGATTAATTTGTCCGTGTGGCGTGTGATATCGTTGAATGACAATATGCGACTTGATTTGGACCAGGAGCATACGCTCCGTTTTATTTTTATATCGAACTTAATTCTAACAGTTATTCTCTCTCTCTTTTCTAGACCTTTTCTCCCTAATCCTAAAACTTGCGTCTATGCGCATGTGGATCTCTAAGGGTGCTTTCCGCTTCATTCTAACTTATGTTATTAGTAATGCACTTACGTTACACAATCTGTTATTTATGAGGGTAGGTCATTAAATCAACCCTATGTCCTACGATACTGCATTCTATTAACCATATGTTCTACGAGACTGCATTCTATTAACCATATGTTCTACGAGACGCGTTATGCCTAATGCATACGCGTCCCTGACAGATGGCATTAATAGTTTTAAGTTAATTTATTGATAAGGGATCAATATAATCAAAAGGGAGAGAATATCCCAACGGTTATAGCAGATGGCAACATTTTGCCACATTACTATCCCCCCAGGGCAAAAAAAAAAGTTTCTATCATGAAAACAACTAATGTTTTTGCATTATAGTAACTTTTTGATTTTCACTATCCTAACTCTGTTTTCTATCCTAACTGTCAAAATGAGATTTTACCCAAAATCTGCCTAGCTGGCATAATGGTACTGCCTTCATTAGAGGATACGAGAATTCTTGGATTTACTTCTCCGCGTTCATTAGCGGTAAAAACGACTTGCATAGGTTCAGAGGGACGCGGTGGAGCGGATGGACGACGAATAAATCTAGAGTTGTTTCCTCCCCCCCAAAATTTAAGTTTTAAAAATTTATAAAATTTGAAAACTAACCAAATTGAAAATGAAATAAGTATTATAATAATAACCATTTTCCAAAATGAAAAGGAGTGTTTTTCCAATTCAATATCCATTAATTGGATTTTTCCGGCATTCATTATTTTTAAATTATTGATTTCGTCAAAAAGTGTTTTTTCATTAAATTTTGATAAAGTTTGATCTTTTATTGTATCAGGAATTTTTTCATCGATTAATTTTGTTTCTTGCGGAGCTCGGGGAAAATCTATTTTTACATGCTCAAATTCAAAATCAGATGAACTACTTGCAAAGTAATGAAAATATATGTTTCCGGATTTAATTAAGCATGGCTTGATTATTTTTAATTTTCCAACTCCATTGAGTTCCAAATTAGATAATTTATTGTTGTGAAGAATATTAATCACGGTTGCATTTGGCATGGCATATATCCAGGAATTTTTGTTAGCCATTTGTATCCATAGCTGATGTTTCAAATTCAGTGGTTGAAATATACATGAATTTGCTGTTTTGTTAATAAACATCTGAACATTGCAATCATTAGCTGATGTCAGTGTTTCAAAAATGTGGATAAATGGACATAATCTAAAATCCTGCACCGATATACATTTTTCATATTCCATGAATTTCATTGTTGTAACCATGCTATTATTTAAAGCCTTTAAAACAACGTCATTTTCAAGGGCAACAATAAATAATTTATTTTCTTTTATTGTTGGTACACTTGTACTTTTATAAGCCTCAAATATAACATTACTGGCAATCGGTATAATAATATTCATTTCCAATCCACAACCTTCAGTTTTAGTTCGTATTTTACTGAATTTATAAAATTTCATAATATTATTATAATTCAATTGGACAGGGAACTCAAGCCCATTAGTAATTGATTTTGTTGCTTTACCCAACTCAACAAACAATGACTTTGGGCTCAACAAATCAGGAGTTAAATCCATTTCTCCTGTTTTCATTAAAGTTAACACAAAATCTTTTCTTTTAATAACACGTGTTAACAATAAATTCATCTCGCCAAGTAAATCTGACAAGTGATTTCTCGCCAGGTTTTTCATTTTTTCTTCATTTTTCTGCTTATTGATAGATTCAATAGCAAGCGAGAAATTTAGTAATTTATTTTGGACATTATAAATCGTATGATTTGTAACTCCAAATATTGAGTCGATAGCAATTGTCTGTTTGTGTAATTTCCATCAACTTTTGTTCGTTGGCATGTATTTTGAGCAAATCATCGTCTACTCTTTTGGAGTCGTCACTATCCATAACTCCTGTGATTTCCTTAAAAATATGACCAACAAAATTGATTTGTCTCTTTGGACGAATAGAAACATCAATATTGCATTGCACACCTATGATGTTTTTAATACTTTCAAAATTTTTAATTTCAAAATCAATTTCATTTAATATTTGAACACAGTCAAAACCAAAATCAGAATCAAGTTTTGAACATGTGTCATTTATATATTTTGAAAGAATTTCCACTACTTGAATTTCGTTCGTTAAAGTTTTTAGATTTATTGAAGAATGTAAAATCCATTCTCCAAACTGAAATTTTACATTTTCTAAGTTCTCATATATTATACCATGTTTGTATAATGGATCAACTTCTACCGACCTCGATGCCTCGGTGAAATTTCCTCCAATGATCAATATTACTAAGCATAGTAATTTATCCATTGCCTGCAAAGACAAAGGGGAAAAAAAATTATTTTCACATGCTTTAAATTGTACATTAAAATAAAATAAAAAATTGTTCATTCATTATATCGTTTTAAACGATCATTATGAACAACTATTTTCCTGTTTGTACCCTTCAATAAAACAGTACAAGTTTGAGGTGTGTTAATAGCGATAACTTCATGAGGGCCATTATATAATCCCTGAAGTTTTCTTCCAGCGCCTGTAGTGACATTTTCTAGAAGAACTTTATCACCCCACATTGGTAACCAATCATTGGTTTTTTCATCATATTTTTCTTTCCTTTTATGCTTGGAACATATTAAATTTGCTCTGGCTGATTTCTGTATAACTTCCAAGTTATACCTCAAATCAGATAAATACGAAAAATATGTCGCATTTTCTTTATATGCTGAGCATATTGATGAAGGTAATTCCGCTTTGTATCCAAACATTAATTCATGAGGAGAAAATCCAGTTGATGAATGAATGGTTGTATTGTAAGTAAAAGCGAAATATTGGATGTATTCATCCCAATCATCTAAATTTTCACACACGTATGATCTCATATATTCTTTAAGAGTTCTATGACATCTCTCAAGAGCTCCATTGCTCTGAGGATGATACGCTGTGGTTTGTATTTGACTAACATGTAAAAGTTTACAGAGTGTTTGAAACAATTTGCTTATAAAATTAGTACCTCTGTCCGTCACAAGTTCCTTGGGTACTCCATAAACACAAATTGCACTCTCTAGAAAGGCTCTACAAGTTGTTTCTGCTGTAGCATCTGGAATCGCTTTTGCAATAAACAGCTTTGTAAGATCATCTTGAATCGTCAAGATGTAGTTATTATTCTTTTTGGTAGTAGGTAGAGGACCTACTATATCAAGAAATATTTTCTCAAATGGTTTTGAAGATGTACTGGTTATCTTCAATGGAATTTTGTTTTTAGATAAAATTTTGTTTTTCTGGCATTCGGTACATTTTTCGATAAATTGCTTGATATCTTGTCTCATATTTTTCCAAGTAAATCTCTCACTAATTCTCTTAAATGTGCGTTCTATGCCTTCATGACCTCCCAATGTACTTTTATGAAACTCGTTTAAAACGGTTTCTATATCATGTTTTGACTTTAATTTTTTTATTGTGTAATTAACAAAACACAACTTATTATTCATATTTGAAAATATGTGCGAAACAATAAGTTTCAGTTTATTCCAATTGATTTCATCAATTGAACGGGGAATAAAATGAAAGTTTAAAATTTTATTTGTTGTTTCCCTAATATTTTCTTTGAGTTTCATCAAATTTTTATACAGTTCATAATAACAAACATTGTGCGCATAATGATTTTTGCTTATTATGAAGTGAAAATTTGATTTTTGTATCAATCCATAACCATCTATGTTACTGGATTCAAAATCTTTTTTGTCAAAATCGTACTCGATAGTTGGATCAAGTAGTTTTGGAACAATATATACATGAATATTGTTTTTGTTTTTGTCGGCCTTTTCTTGAATATTTTTGTTCACTTCTGGATCCTTTAATAATATGTAACTTCCATAATCTTGTGCTACTCCACTTGATATGGGTACATTAATTATTCTTCGATCGGTTTTTTGTGGGTTGGCTAGGTCTTTTGCCTGTTGCCTTGTTATAACATTTATTCTTTTTGAGATATGCGCTTTGTGCTTTTTTATCTCTCTTTCTATGTTATTAGTAATTAGATCTGCAGAATCTAAATTACATAACTCAATACGACTCAATGCGTCAGCGACGACATTAGTTTTTCCAGGTGTATACATCACTCTGAAATCGTATTCTTCCAATAGTATACGCCATCTCATTAATCGATCAGACGCTTCTGAAATATTGAAAAGGTAAACCAATGGCTTGTGGTCAGATTTTACTATAAATTCTTGACCGTACACATATGGTTTAAAATGTTTGACTGCCCACACTATGGCAAGCAGTTCCCTTTCCACAGTTGAATACCGTCTCTCTGCGGGATTCAAAATCCTGCTAGCATATGCTATAGGCAAGTTAATTCCTTCATTTGAAAGAACTGCACCCACGGCAACATTACTCGCGTCAGTTGTTATGACGAATTTCTTTTTGAAATCAGGATATTGTAGAATAGGTGAGCTGATCAACAACGATTTCAACTCATTGAAAGATTGTTGACATTTTTCGCTCCAAACAAAACGTTCTCCTTTTCTCAGTAATTTGTTTATGGGTTCAGCTAGATTTGCTAAACTGGGTACGAATTTTCGATAATAGCTGAGAATTCCCAAAAACATTTTGATTTCTTTCGCATTCTTTGGCGTCGGAAAATTTTTAATGGCACATAATTTTGATTCATCGGGCAATATGCCATTTGGTGTTATTTTATGCCCTAAAAACATAATTTCTTTTTGTAAGAAATTACATTTACTTGGTTGAAGCTTAAGATTGTGCTTCCTGAGGCAATCTAAAATTTCACATAGTTTTTCATTATGTGTTTTTAAAGTATCTCCGTATACGACTATGTCGTCCATGTATATAAAACATTTAATACCTTGCAGTCCTGTTAAAACTGTATTCATAAGGCGTTGAAAAGTAGCAGGTGCATTTTTTAATCCAAAAGGCATACAAACATATTCATAGTGCCCATAAGGAGTTGAAAAAGCAGTTTTGGCTGCATCTTGTGGATCCATTTTAATTTGATGGAAACCACTAGCCAAATCTAAATTAGAAAAGTATCTTGCTTTTCCTAATTGGTCCAAAATATCCGAAATTAAAGGTAACGGATATGCGTCACTTATTGTAACGTCATTGATTTTTCTGAAATCAACTACCACGCGCCATTTCTTCTCACCATTCACACCAGCTTTTTTCGGAACGACTAATAGCGGAGAATTCCAAGGAGAATAACTCTCTTGGATTAAACCATCATTTTTCATCTTTTTAACTTCACCATCGATGACATCTTTATGCACCTTTGGCAACCTATACTGCCTCGTAAATATAGGTTTTTCACAAGATGTTTTGATTTGATGTGTTGTTGCATTGGTGGTTGTTAATTTGTCACCTTCAACATAAAATACATCATTATAATTTTTGATAATTTCCAAAATTGAGGATTTTTCTTCATTATTCAGAAGTTCAAAATTTAATTCTTCAATTATTTTATCTGTTCTTTCTGAGTTGTTTTTGAGTGCCATTATAGAGTATTCGAATAATGGTTCAAACTCAATTGAATTTAAATCAATTTCCACCACATCATGTGTTCCGTTAAATATGGGAACATATGCAAAATTATTAAACGGTTTCACTAAACAATTTCCAATATAAACAGCTTTATTGAATAATTGTTTTGAGTGGCAAATTAATTCTTGATCTGCTTGAATAAAAATTTTTTGAATTATTTCACTGCGTGCAGGAATTTTTACAACATTTTTTGCTCGTATGGCATTAATATAAGAATATTCGTTGTTTTTAAAAATTTTAAAACAGTTTTGACGATAATCAATAGTACATGGGTAATTTTTAAAGAAATCACTACCCAAAATACCGTCACATGGAATTGGAAAATTCTCATGTACTAAAGAAATTTCAAATCTTCTCTCAAAATCATTAAATAAAAATGTTATATCTACAGAACCAATCGTTCTTATAACGTCGGAAGTGACTCCACAAATTTCAATTTGTTTAGATTGATTAATTTTTTTGAAAGGCAAATTCAATGTTTGCTTTAGAACGCTTACCTCAGCTCCTGGGTCAAGCAAAAAAACTAGGGGTTTTTTAGTTAAATTTACGTTTAGAGTTATAAGTGCTCTATTCGTGAAATTAACTTTATCAAACGGAATTATTAAATCCCGAGTGATTTCATTAAATATAACTCTTGACCGTCGTCCGGACCCGTTTTCGGCAGTCCCCCTTGGTTTTTTGATTCTAATATATTTATTTGATTTCTATTTTTGAATCGACAATACGATTCTAAATGACCAGGTCTTCCACAAAAGTTGCATATCATTTGAGCTCTAAAACTGTTAAGAGGCTCAGTTTTTATTTCATTCTTGGGTACCAAATATTTTTGTGGATTCTTATTTTGAAAATGATTTTGTGAGTTATTGTGATAGTTTGATTTGTCATAATTATTGTTATTTTGATTTTTTATGTGATTGTTTTGTGTATTGAATTTATTGTGATGTGTTTTTGTTGTTTGGCTACTTTTAAAATTTGTCTCTAGATAAACAGCATATTCCGCTGCTTTCGCCAAGCTAGAAAAATTGTTAGCTTTAACGATATTTTTAACGTCATTAATTTGAATACCATTGATAAAGTATTCAAGGATAACTCTAGAATAAATGTATTCTACTGGTGCAACGCTTTTATTTGTCAAATTAGAGCGTTTCAATAGCTCTTCAGAAATTATATTTAATTTCTCTTCGAGCAAAATTGCTCTATCTCCATACGATTTAGCATCCTCGAAAAATTTTTGTTTCAAGTTTACCATATCTCTAATCAATACACTCAAAGGAGTATCTTCACCGTACTTCTTTGAAAGTGTTGTTGTAATTTCATTATATGTCGTACAATTTCGACATAATGTAAAAGCTTCATTATTCAATTTTTGTTTAATGACTCTGACAAGTCCAGAGTCGCTTTCACCATCTAGTTCAATGTAAAAATCTTCGCAAATTGAAATAAATTGCGAAAAATTATGTTGCCATTGAATTTTGGGATAGATTCCCTGGCTTCTTTGGCATCAAAACTTGCCATGTTATCGATCTCAGAAGACGGTAAACTAATCAAATCTGGATCTATATCAGGCAATGATGGAAGATCTGAATCTGAGTCGTTATTCTCGTCCTCCAAATTCGAACGAGGAAAATCAGTGTTTGAAGAACTTTTGTTAGCTTCTTCACTGATTTCTATGATCCTTCCTCGTAGTCCAAGAATTCTACGAATGCTCATAAGTTATATTTTTTTTTGTATTTGCTTTCCTACTTAAATTAGCAATAAAATTCCTCACAAATTTAATTGATAAAATAAAAAACAAAAAATGTAGAGAGAGAGAACAAAAAAAAAACTCACTTTTAGCGTTTTCTGTTGTTACTGCTGTCGTCGTCGTTGTCGTCACGGTGTTGTTTCTGCTACTACTGCTGCTGCTAATATTACTGCTACTACTGCTACTACTGCTATTACTGCTACCACTGCTTCAAATGATATAACTGCTACTACTGCCGATGGATATTTTATACGACCACTGCTGCTACTAGTTTTAGCCTGTGACTGATGATTCCAGTTAAAGTCAGAATATGTCGTACTCACAACCAATTATTGATGGCTCAGCTGAGACTGACTGTGCACACTATAGGATATCTCCTATTATCGATTTTTTTTTATCGATAGTAAACTTGTTGTTGCTGACAATTGCTCCCGCTATGGCTTTTACTTTATAGTGCCTTTTTGCGCTTCTTAACACAACAAATTTCAACATGAAATGAACTTTTCGCACATCAATCTTTTCACTCTGTTGCTTCTTATTTGTTCTCGTTGACACTTTTCATACAACAATTGGAAGTTGTCTTTGTTGAGTGTTCTTCAGTAGTAACTAGGAGATCTAGGACCTCAATTTTTTTTATTCGTTTCTTAAACACGAACTTGCGCTAGCGCAGAGAAAAATTTGCAGTTTAACTTTCCGACAAACTCACGATTCACTAAAAAAATAGCTTTACCGCTGCCACCAAATGTGGCGTGTGATATCGTTGAATGACAATATGCGACTTGATTTGGACCAGGAGCATACGCTCCGTTTTATTTTTATATCGAACTTAATTCTAACAGTTATTCTCTCTCTCTTTTCTAGACCTTTTCTCCCTAATCCTAAAACTTGCGTCTATGCGCATGTGGATCTCTAAGGGTGCTTTCCGCTTCATTCTAACTTATGTTATTAGTAATGCACTTACGTTACACAATCTGTTATTTATGAGGGTAGGTCATTAAATCAACCCTATGTCCTACGATACTGCATTCTATTAACCATATGTTCTACGAGACTGCATTCTATTAACCATATGTTCTACGAGACGCGTTATGCCTAATGCATACGCGTCCCTGACAGATGGCATTAATAGTTTTAAGTTAATTTATTGATAAGGGATCAATATAATCAAAAGGGAGAGAATATCCCAACGGTTATAGCAGATGGCAACATTTTGCCACATCCGTCCATTCACCAAAACGTTGTAGTTTTTCTACCAGAAATGTTTAATAAATCTTGCCCCTCCATTCACCAGAACTGTACAATTTTTAGATCAGGAATTTTTAATTTAGCTTGCCCCTCCATGCAGCAGAATGTTGCAAATCATACACCAGAAATTTTCAATACAAACTTGCCTCCAGAAATTTTAAACCAGAAAATTTGAATTGACCAGAATGACTACCCTTGATGTTCAATTAAAATTGCTTCTCCAATCTTCTGATTGGTGCCGATCTCCTTTTTCCATTTCCACCAGACATTTTCAAATAAAGCTTGCCCCTATTTTCATATTTTTCATCATAAATTTTCAGCAAAGCAGCTTCCCTCCAATCATCAGAATGGTGCAAATTTTACACCAGTAATTGTTATTAAAATTTGTGTCTCTATTCAGCAAATTCAACACCAAAAATTTTCAAAAAGCTTGCCCTTCCGTTTACCAGAACAGTGCAGATTTTCCACCAGAAATTTTAAATTTAGCTTAATTTTAAGTAAAGCTTGTGCCTTCATTTACCAGACTAGTGCAAATTTTCCACCAGAAATTTTCTGTTCATTTCATTTATCAAAGCGATGCAAATTTTGCACCAGAAATTTTCAATAGAGCATGCTCTTCCATTCACCAGAATGGTGCACCAAAAATTGTCAGTGAAGTTTGTTTCACCATGCACCTTTGTGTTGCAATTTTCAGGCTTTGCCTCTTCATGCAGAATGGTGCAAATTTTCCACCATAAATTTTCAATGAAGCTTGCATTCATCAGAACGATGCAAATTATGCACCAGAAAAAAATAATAAACCTTGCTTTTATATTCACCACAGTGTGGCGAACTTTCCACCATAAATTTTCAGTTAAATGTGCACCTCCAAATTTTTAGCGCGATTCAATTTTAGAACCAGAGTTATTCATTTTGATAAGTCCCTCCTTGATGACATTGTTACACCAGAAATATTCAATAAAAAGCTTTTTCTTCGATTTACCACCACGAAGGTGAATTTTTTTAATCTTAAATTTACGCTTTCCTTTCAACGCTCCATGAACAACCTAGAAAATAAAATTGTACCAGAATTTTTTTTGTATTCACCAATGTGGTGCAATTTTTTGGCCAAAAATTTTCATTGAAGTTTGTCCCTTCATGCACCTTAGTGGTGAAATTTTCAGGCACCATCTCAAAGGAATTGGCGCAATAAAAGGGTTTAAATTTTACCTTCAAATCAAGTTATCAAAAAATCTAGATATTTTTTATTATAACTTCGAAAATGTGGAAATAAAAATCTTATTTATAAAAAGTGGGGCAGTTGCCCCACCTTGCCCCACCCTGTGCACGCCAGTGGCAATATCGCATAAATCGGCAGAGCTGTGTACAAAATTGTATACAAATTCGTTGTTTATATCAACTACAGTGCAATTTTAAACGGGAGGAGATTTTACACGATGGCTGAAATTTAGATTTTTTTTAGATAAATTATTTACTCCGTTTCTATTCATTTTAGGGGGTTAGTGTCTTCGTAAAAAA